CCGAAGCAGGCCTTCCACCAGGCACACCCCACGGACACCCTTCTCTCCAGGGCCCTCCACCGGGCACACTGCTCCTCATCCTGTGCTCTCCGCCAACTGGAGCCCACGGGCGGGCAACCCCTCCCTCTGAAACACCCTTTACTCTGACCTGTGAGGCACCAGACTGGCTTCTCTCCCTCTCCCCTCTCGCAGGGCTCAGCTTCCCAGGCCGCCCAGGTCTCCCGGGCTCCATGATGTTCCCTTCAAGGACCTCACGCACTCTTCCTGGTGACTCGGCTTCTTCCACTCCAGGAGCGCTCCATAGATACATTGGTTCCTTGCAAAGCAATCCAGCCCTACCCAGAGGAGCGTCCTTAATGATCTCCCGGTGGGTCTACTTGGGGATCTTACAAGATCTCTCAGAACCTGTCAACCTGAAGGCGGCACGTTCCAGACCGGTTTATTCTTCCTCCTCCGGTCCTGGGCTGAGAAAAATGGTGCCAGGGTCACCTCTGATTCTTTCTCCCCCAGTCACCCTGCCTGCCACCACTCACCCAGAGCCAAACTGTCCTGGCCCTCTATGCCTCCAGCTGTGCTGGCCACCTGCAGTGGAATCCTCAGCAGTTCCTGCCCTTGTCCACCCTACCCCAGGCTCCCCTGCCTACAGCCTCCCATGGCTCCCACTGTCCGTGGCCCTGCAGTCTCAGACTCCTCTCTTCTCCCCCCAGTCTCCATTCTAGAGCAGCACTGAACTTGCTGTTTACCCTGGGGTAGACCAGGCCTTGTGAAGAGGCGGAGAACTTCCGTCAGGTGGCCCGGGACTGATGGCAGCCCCCCTCCCATACTTCTTTAGTGGGTTTAGGCCGCAGGAGGGGTGGGGGCTCTGGTGCCTCTACCTGTCCACTTGCCCACCTTCTCTGCCCCACTCTTTGCTCTCCTCTGCTCCAGGAGACTGGAGCAGGGTGGGTCCTTGTCAGGAAGGAGCCGGCCCCTAACCTGTGACCGGGTGGGTGGTGGTGGTGAAAGATGGACTCTTCCAGGCCACTGCCCCCGAGACAGATACTGCGTGTGGCCACAGGACAGCATGGGCCTGTGGGTGGGGCTCCGGCCTTGTGGGAGACTGAGGCCTCCCTGTTGGCTGGGTAGAGGGGCCGGTGGCAGGAGGGCAGAAGCAGCAGTAGCAGCTCCGGGGCTGAGGGTGTCCCTAGGCCCTGATGAAGGGTCACTCATCACTGCCCTCAGCCCCTCCTCTCTGACCCTCTTCCTTTCTGAGTGGGAGGACAGAGGCCCTGGGGGCTGGGTGGGTGGGGGGTGGGAGGTGGGGAGACTGCATTCCTGGAGCGTTAATGGTCTCTGGGGGCGGCCAGGAGCAGAGCCCCCAAACCAACTAAAAACAACAAACAGCTGCCAGGAGGGATTTGTGTCTGTCCCGAGAGTCAGGGATTTCCGCCTGCATGGGGGCTGTGGCCTGTGAGGCTCGCAGCAAAGAAATTCCCCAGTGACCAGAAGCCCCCCCCCCTCCAGCCTCCCCTCCTCTCTCTTAGTGGGGGCCAGCTCCCTGGTGAGGGGAGGCAGCAGCCCCTGGGACACCTGAGAGGTGAGGGAGAAAAGCTCAGGTGCATTTCTCCCCAGGCCTCTCACACACACACCCCCATCCCCCAGGGGTCCAGGAGAGCTGGGGGCCCTTGGCATTCTGATAAGTGCCTGCCAGGATGCTGATGGGGGATGGAGAAAATGAGGGAGCTGGGAATAGCAGAGAGGTCCCCCTGCCTGCTAGGGCCTGTCTGACCCCAACGTGAGGGACTGGCTCTACCACGGGGCTGCTGGGCATGGAGGCTGACCGCTTCCCCTCCACCTCTGAGAGGAGGCCAGGCCTCATCAGGGTGACGCTGGAGGAGCTGGAGGGAGAGGGGCTGAGCACCTGGGCGATGGCAAGCACCCTGCTGGCATCAACCACCATCCATTTGGACCCGACTTTTCCGTCTCCTGGAGTCCCTGGGTGGTATGCCAGCGCTGGCCTGTTGCTGTCTCTAAGACACCGCCACTGAAAATCCTATGAGGCACGCGCCACTCTGACACGCCCGGGGTCGCTGTGGGTTGGAACCAACTTGATGGCAATTGTTTTTCCCCTTCCTTGTGGCGGCTCTCTGGTGGTGTAGTGGTTATGGGCTGGGCTGTCAGTCACAGGGTTGGCAGGTTGAGACCACCCACTGCTCCTTGGTAGAGAGACGGGCTTTCTACTCCTGTAAACAGTTTGTCTTGGAAACCCCGAGGGGGTGGGGATCACTATGAGTCGGCATTGACTGGGTGGCAGTGAATTTTTGTTGAAAGTCAGGAGCCCCCAGGCCATAGAAATGAGTAAGCCCTGGGATATAAACAGAAAAGTTGATGGTTCAGACCTACCTATAGATCCCTGGGGCAGAAGGCCTGACCACCTGCTGCCAGAAGGGCCAGCTTTGCAAACCCCGTACCACGCTGCACCTGTGGGGTCTCCTGAGTCAGAGTCAATTCAGTGGCCACCCGGCCCCTCTTGGCCCCAGACGCCTCCTTCGCCAAGCCCACCCTTCCCAGCCCCACAGAGATACAGACTGGGGTGGGGGAGCCCATCAAAATTCATGGCGTGCTTTGAGAACAGAGCCTTGAGGGAGCGCTCAAGCCCTCTGTAAGGGAGCACCTTCCGCCCAGGTGCAGCCCACCCCTTGACCAGCTTCCTGGCCTCACCTCTCCCTGGGCCCTTTCGTCTCTTCTTCCCTCTGAGGCACCCAGCCTTGAGCCGGGTGGGGCCTGCATCTAGTCCTGGCATAGGTCTGCACCCTCCTGGGGCCTTCCCCCCACAAATCCTTAGCTAGCCTGGTTTCCTCAATGTCACCCTTCTCACTCCGCCCCAGCCCCGGGCCCCCTGCCCACAATTCCCAAGCCCAGTCTTGGTGCTTTGCATACATCGTTTATTGCCCACAGCTCATTAGTATTACAGACATCACAGAGATTGAGACATTTTCTGAGAAGGTTAAAAAGACACTGGGCATTTCTTCAAGGCCCCTGGGATGTGGTCGAGGCACGTGCTGGCCCCTCACTCAGACCAGCCCAGGGCTGCCAGGCTACCTCAGGACCCCCGCCTCTCTCCCAGGCCCCAGGCCCAGAGCAGGAAGCCAGCCGGCTCACAATCAGGAAGTGGGAAGGGTCGTTGGCAGCCACATTGGCACCTTGGTCTTCAGCTCTCTGGAAATAGGTGGGGGTGGGCTCCCCAAGCCTGAGGGAATGTTTGAAAAGGCCAGAGAGGGTTGGGAAGGTCCACCCGGGTAGGGAGCTAGCATACTGGCACAGCTGGGCCCACCCAGGTAGGGAGCTAGCATACTGGCACAGCTGGGCCCACCCAGGTAGGGAGCTAGCATATTGGCACAGCTGGGCCCACCCAGGTAGGGAGCTAGCATATTGGCACAGGTGGGCCAGTCCCACATTCCCTGGGCCCAGGCTCCATCCCCTCCATGGTCATAAGCTAGTCTCTCCCCGCAAGCACCCCCCTCCTACCCCCCAGGCCTCCCTTCCTCTGGCCCCATCAGAGTCAGGAGGTGAATGTTGGATGGGAATTTCTTCATGGGGATTTCTGTGCCAGACCTGAGCTTAGCAGTGTGGCCCGTGGGCCCGTCACCATCAGCCCGAGCTATAAGGATCCTTGGTCAACCGGCGCTCCCAGGAGGAGCCACGCCAGCTCACCTGAAACTGCATGTGGGAGCATGATCACAAATCATCCAGGGGACAAGACAGAACAGCAGAAGCCACAGGAGCCAGCAGAGGGGGATGGAGTGGCTCCCAGCTCAGTTGGGCCCCCGGGAGTGGGCAGTTGTGGTCCCCAGGTAAAGTGCACGAGGACAAGAACCCATGAAGTGGGTGGCACAAGCTTACATCGAGTGGTTCCAAAGAAGAGCCAGGCCTGCCCGGCCCCCCGCCTCCCCCGACTAGGTCCCACCCCTCCAGGCTTGCTCTGCCATCTCCCCTTCCCAATGAGCGGGTGGGCTGCTCCTCAGGATAGTGGGGGTCTCCCAGGGGAGGTCCTTCGCAGCCCTAGCTGGTAGAGACGGGGGCATGGCTCTTGGCACCCAGGTGGTGTCAGTGTTTATGCAAGACCCTTCCGCACCAAACCGGCTCCTGCCCTGGGGGTGGGGGGAGCAGGAGGGGGAGTGTGGGGTGTGGGGGTCTCTTTACTTTGCTCCAGCCCCTTTTCCTGAATTGCATCCATTCACCGTTTGGGCTGAAGTCCCAGTCACCCCCTCCCCCGCCTGAGTCAGGGCAGGGGAAATCCTGGGGCTGTACATCAAGGCCCCTGACCCCAGGTGGGGCCCAGAGAGGGGCTCTGCCCTGCTCCCGCCTCCCCACCTCATGCCCAGCTTCCCTCTGCAGGGCACCCATGGAGGGAAGGCGAGGGGAGCAGCTGTGCTGGTCTCTGGGTGTCTGTGCAGGGTGACCGGTAGCCTGTGGTGTGGCCCCACCCCGACCCCATCTGCTTCTTCCTGCACAATGACAAAGTGTTTGGCAGAGGTCAGCGGCTGCGGGGACGTGGGGTCTGGTCCAGAAGGGCAAGGTCAGAGTTGGCCATGCCCAAATGGGCCTGCCCCTGCACCCGTCTGGCGTCCATATTGAAGCAGTACCGCGGAGAGCTAGCATCTGTGGGGAAGGCCAGCGGCGATGGAACACAGGGATCCCTCCGTCCCGTCCTCTGGTTCCAGGTGGGGTGTGGAGGCACAGAGAAGGGAGGGGGCTTTCCAGTGTCACTCCACCCATTGGAACGGGAGCTGGGGGTTGGTGTACATAGTATGGGGCGCCGGCGTTGGTGCACCTCTCAGATAGTGCCTGGAGTTCAGGCCTGCACACTCTCAGCCATGAGACTCTCCGATTCAGGAAATGGTGGGGAGGGGCGGCAGCCTCAGTTTTGGAGGGGCTCCCTGAACAGCACCCAGCACCCCTCTACCCCCACCCAGGGCCCAGCTCAGCACGGCCTCAGCCTGTTGTACCACAGAGAAGCTTCCAGCCGGGCGAAGTGCAGGCTCTAGTTCCACAGTCTTGTTCCTCTGGGCCCCTGCAGTTGGAGTCATCTCACCCAGCCCCCATCAGTCAGGGCTCCGTGCAGGTGGGCCCCAGCCCCAGAGTGTCACAGGCTTCAGGCCGAGACTGGCTCTGCGGCAGCTGTGTGGATGGCCGGGATGGTCTCGCTTGGGGCCAGCTGTTGGAGGAGCTTCCAGAAACTTCAGTGCCTGACTCCAAGACCACTGGGAGCTCGAGCCTGCTGGCCCACCCCTGGGGCAGACCACTTGCCTCCCTCCAAATCCTAAATCTATACCCCACCCCACCCGGGGCCTACTCCTGTTCCCCCCACCTGTCCAACATCACTTCTGGGCAGCCAAGCTAAGACTTGATTTTGATACAAAAATAAAAATCAAAAGGAAACAAAGTATAAAAGAATGCTAATTCTACCCAGTAGGTGCTCTACAAATCTGCAGCCTCACATCGGTTTATGCTGAGCGGAGTGGTGGCAACCCCAGGGAAGACCCAGCAATGCACTTGATTAATTCTGATAGGAACTGTGTGGGAATCCCTCTGCCCTATGTTAAATACGCATGGGTTAGTTTTCCTACCACTGTGGGCTGAAGACACCCCCCAGGGTGGGGTGGCCCAGGGCCGGGGGGTGTCTGTGTGCCTCTTCCTGCTGGTGTAACCCCTGGAGACGCTCTCCCTGCCCACCCACCCCCAGCCCAGCCGACGCTCCATCCCCAGGCTGGCCGGTGCCACTCACAGCCCCTTATTGTACACCACTGTCCGGCTGCTGGTGGCCCGGGCGATCTCTGGCTCCAGCTGGGATGTTTCAATCTGAGGAGAGAGGAAAGGTGAGGAGATGGGGACCCTGCCGGGGGTACTGGTCAGGACGGCCCTGCTGGCCCCGCCCCCTGGCCGGCCTGACCCACTGGTGTACCCGCTTACTGACACATCTCCCTTCTCCCTCGCCCTCCTGACCTCCCAGGGGTCCCTCCCTTCGAGCCGTGCTTCTTTCTTGTGAACCTGTGTCCACCAGGGTGAACATCTTGACCTCTGGGTGTTGTGTCTCTCTCTCTCTCTCTTATGTATCCACCCCTGGGACTCTACCCAGGGCCTGCTCGCCACTCACAGCTGCTCCACACCCAGACACGTGAAGGCTGCACCCCACCCTCCTGAGTCCTCGGTCCCTACACACCCAGCACCTCACCCACTCCACTCCAGGACCTTAGTCTTCATGGTCAACCCAACTCAGGCACCCTGGGCCATCCTGCCAACCACGCTCTGTCCCAACACCCTTTTCCCCAGGATGGGCAGGAGCTCTGCTCTGTAGAACCCGGTCACCCTTCCACCTTCTCAATCCTTGGGCCTGACAGCCTGCGGGAGGCCACTCGTGTTCCAACACCCCTGGCATTACTAGGGCCATCACAGCGGCCAGCAACTCACCTTTGGTTAGGTCAGCGCCCTCTCTATTCTCCACGGGGGTCCTCTTAGACCTTCCCTGCTCTGCGCCACCACACCCACACCCAGGAGGGAAGGTGAGCTTTCTTCCTCCTTCCATAAGCCTACCTGTCGTTCACTCACAGAAGTCCCTCCCCCGGGGCTCCATCCCTGTCTCGCCCACTCCTGGACTTGATTCCAAAGGTCATCAGCCTTCCTCCCTTTTCCAGTCTACCGACTCCTGTCCTGTCCATCAGTGCCTCCCATGCCACTGGCTGACGCAGCCCCTGCATCTCATGTCAAGCTCCAGCTAGCGCCAGGTCTAGCTCGTCAACAACCAAACCCCTCTGAAAGGGGTGTCCGCACCAGAAGTCTCCTCTCTTTGCTTCCCACACACAGCATCAAACTCTACAGCACTCTTTCCCTGCACGGTGACTGCCGCCTCCTGCCTGCTACGCTCACTGGACACACTTCAGGCCACCTGCTCCTTGGTCCCCTGGGAGCCCCGCAGGCAGTTGGCGTGTCCCTCTTCGTCCAAACACTCGTGTCTTGTCCCCTGGATCCTCAAGGTGTAGCGCTGTGCCGGCAGGCAGTAGGTATTCAGGGAGCATTGAATGAGTGAGTGAAGTGAAGAGGCCGAAGATACTGGGGGTGGGGGGTTGTTCTGAGCCTGGGGTGGGTGGGGCCTGAGCCTGGGGGTGGGGGTAGAGGTGGACCCTGAACCCACAGACTAAGAGGAGCTGGTCTCAGCAACAGGTCTCTGCCAACACCCACAGCGGGCAGTCACGGCAGGGCCAAACCTTTGTGACCCAGCCCAGCCAGAGGGCCCTGCTGTGTGTCAAGCCATAGCTATCCCGAGGAGGCAAGGAGGCATCAGAAGGTGGCACAGACCGGCCCGGGAGAACTCAGCCTGCCTAGGGATGGAGGGCTCTGTGGTGCCTTGGCTGTTTCTGTCGGAGAGCAGACAAGATGAGGCTTCTGTGGACTGGGGCCAGTGGGCATGGCGGGGCTCCCCGAGGAAAACAGGCCTTTCCTCCGCAGTCCCTGGTACCCCAATACTCAGCCTCTAACCACTGGAGAGGGCCAAACAGACAGGAGCTAGGTTCAGGACCCAGGCCTCCTCTCCACCCGCTCTCTCCAGCCACCTTCTCCCTCCCCACCGGGCCCGCCTCCATGTGCCACCGTCCCCCCCCCCCCACTCCCCTGTGCCAGTTCCCCTGGTCCCCATGCCGCCACTGACACAATGCACAGCGCCCACGCTTAAAAATCTAGATGCTTTTGAAAATGTTTAACCTAGTTAGACAAATTAGCAAAAATTTGTGCAAAACAATTTAGGTATTTAAAATATTCAATGTTTTTAAAAAACTGGAAAACTGTTCTTAGCTTTCAGCTGCAAAAACCAACAAAATATAACATCCCAGCAATCTTAGCATGAGGTGTAACATAACCCTTCGGGAAAGCTGTTAAACAGCTACTGAGGCATCCTGGGAAATAGCACTTCATTTATTCAAATGCACATATGTCAGGCTTTTGCACCATATGTCATTCCAAGCTATTTACAGTAATAATTAAATCTTAATCAACGTTTAACCTCTGTAAAATGTTTGAAGAATCCTAATCACCCTTCAGACTGCACTAATGAAGGAGAAATATATAAACATAAAAGGAAAATGATGCATAGATATCACGCTGGAAAGAACAGTAATTGCAAAATTGTATTTCTTTTAAGTATAATCAGTAAATGATGTAAAGTAAGCCAAGGAGTATTTTAAGTTAAGACATCTTGGATGTCAGAGGTGTGAGCAGCTAATTTTGTTCTGCTACCCATAACAGATGTAGCATATTTTATTTTAGTGCCATTATTAGCAACTTCCCATGCCGGCTTTCACTGAAGCACCGAGGCCCGCATTAAAATCAGAGGTTGCTCACCACCCCGGCGGAGGACCACGGCCCAGGCCGCGGGCCACTCTGCCCACTCTCTGGAGAGCGCTGGCCCCGGTGACGAAGGACACCTCCCTCCTTGGGTGGAGATGGCTATAGACAAGGCCCCCAGGCGCCTCTGGGCTCCCCACTCCCCACCGTATTGCATGACCAGGTAGGAGGGATGCGTGGGGGAGGGAGAGACACAGGCAGTGGGCCAGCCGCCCGGGCAGGAGGTTGAGGCGGTTGGGAGCAGGGGCTTGGGAACAGACATGGCGTGCAGGGCCTTCTCTCTGTTTTAATTCCATCTCCCCAGATCGTGTGGTGGCCAATGCCACACACGGGGGCTGGGCACACAGACAAGCCAGCCCCTGGGTTTCAGAGGTTTGTGCTCTGGGGGTGGGGGTGGGGAGTGGAAACAACCAGACGATTCCAGAGAGAGAAGCAAAGAGCCATGGAAACTGGGTGGGAGACGGGAGCTCCAAATCCCTGACGGAGGAGCCAGGGTGGAAGACTTCCCGGAGGAGGCGTGCTCCAGGGGTGGGCCGGAGAAGCTCGCCGGGTGAAGGGAGCTCACACTGGCCATGCCCTGCTTGCGGTGGACAGTGCTGGGCATGTTAGCCACGTCTCAGGAAGGTGCTAGCACTTTTGCCTGAGGGTGATGCCCCCCCCCCCCACTCCACCACCAGAGATGGTGAGCAGGCGTGGACAGCGGTCTCTCTGCGGTGGTGGGTGTGCAGGTGATGAGGGGGCTAAGTGAGAAGCGGTGTGGGCGGCAGAGCCCATGGGAGAGCCCGGGTTCTGCTGACAGGAGAGTGTACTGGGAACCTTCCTGAAGACGGGATCCATAGGAAGGATGACCAATCCCACGTGGGGGTGAGAGGGAGGTGTTGCCGATGACTGTGCTCGGATGACTCCTAGCTCCAGCTCGGAGCTGGTGACGCCATCCTCACCGACAGGGAATAGGAGGGCAGGTGGGGGGCGGGTGGGGGCGGCGGTAGAGCTTAGGCTTGGCCACGTTGAGTCTGGGTGCGTGTGAGTTCCGGAGGTGGGGAGGCCTGAGGGGCAGATGGGTCCAGGCTCTGGGGCTCTGGGCAGGGGTCTGGACAGGAGGGAGAGCCCAGGATGCGTGAGCGCAGCCAACGTGGGGGAGGTTTAGCCCAAGGGAGCAGATGGCAGGAGAGGGTGCCAAGGCCCGGGGAACATGCACGTCTGAGGGGCGGGTGCCGGGAGCGGGCCCTTGATGGTGGCCGGGGTGGCTGGGGGACAACAGCCTAAGGAGTAAAAGCAGGGACAGGGGGTGGCATGGACACACCAGGCAGCGGAGCATTCTGGGGAGGACTGGGAAGCTGAGACCTGGCCACTGGACTGTGGAGCCCTTGGGGAGATTGGGGGGGGGGTAGCTCCCACTCAGCACACAGCCTCTCCCCTGCCCTGAGCCCACCCCACTGGCCGCTCACAAGCCCTGGCTGGCTGTGGGCCCAAGGCCCACCATTGATCAGGCCTCTTTGGGGTCAGGACCACAGAGGTCCTGGCCCCTGGTCTGGGGCAGGGGCTCTCAGGCTTCCTGCTAGCCCAGACCTGCTCTCTCCTGCTCCTCCACCTGCCGCATGTGTGGCGTTGAGTCTCCTTCATGGGAACCACGCTGCTGAGGGCGGACCGGCCAGGACCAGAATGTGACCAGGGACCCCGTGGTGAAGGCGATGGGATGCCCTTCCTGCCTCTCCTGCTGCCCTAACCTGCCCCCAGCCCCACAGGTGGGCACACAGGGCTCCTGCTCTTCTCCTCCATGGGTCCTGGACACTGGCAGGACTGACGGGTCAGAAGCCCCTTGGGCAGCAGAACAAAGGGTGTCGTGCCCACAGTGGCACAGGAGGGGTTGGAGGGAGGGAGCTGCAGGGTGCAGTGAGAGGGGTGGGTCCAATGAGGAAGGGCGCCCTGGTGAGAGTCCCAGTGGAACAGGTCACAGGCAGGGGCTTGGTTATGACCAATAACTGATTCTAAGGAGCTCTGTCTCTTGAGAAGGTGAGGAGAAAGACGTTGGACAGAGAGAGGCCCCAGGTAAATGGGTGACCGGGACCCAGTGCTCACTCTGCCCCTCTGTCATGTGGGGACTGGTGGGGTCCTCCCCAGGCACTTGAATTACTAGGGGACCCTCACGGGAAGGGGGTGACTAGAATGGAGAGTCAAAGCCCTGGAGGGCGAGGAAAGTAGCTGGGATCACCGTGGACGTGGAAGTTATCGGTCAGCACTGCCTGATGTTCCCCCCAGCCCTGGGGGCCCTGGCAAGATGAGGGCATGCTCACCCACCTGCACCCCGGACGTGTACCTCTGAGCTGAGACAGGCTGTCAGGTGCCTAGGGAGATGTCCAATGGGTGCCCTTGAGAAAGGTCCTAGAGAAAGGACCCTTGGAAGGAGCCCACAGGTTTCCTGCCTAAAGTGACCCCCCCACCATGCCTGTGGCCCTCGCGCCTGC